CGAGGACAAACTTGAGCGTTTTCCCGATAGAGGCGCTGACCAAACTCCGAAATTAGTTCAGCTCGTTCGACACTAGGTGGCGACGACAACAATAAGTTGTGACGTCATCTATTAGTAACAGTGCGAACTATTTCCACTACAAACTTGTAATATAGATTAGTAAAATTAGTACTATAATCACTATTTCCAATTAACTAAAATATCGAAAGATTGATCTCTTTCGATAACATTAAATCTTGGGAGGAATAAAAGTCGTATTATTAATTACTCATAATATAATTTATTAAAAGAGACAATGAATTGTCAGTAGCAAATATTTCATTAGGATAAATTACATTGACATTATGTATAATATATATTTTTACATGTATATAAGGACCTATCGTGTTCTTAAGGCCTCTAAGATACATAGCAACCAAAAGCTACCAACTGCTTACAGTGGAATGCTTTGATTAATAAAATGATACGCGAAATCGGTTATATGTATATACAATTATTTACTATCTATGTATCGATGGAAGAATTCACATTTCTTATGGAAATGTACGTGTAAATCCCTATGCGAACTGTCAAAATAAAAATCAGTGAAAAGTTGTGCTTAACTGTTTGAAAATTCCTAAACAAAATGCATTAAATGCAATCTTCTTTCATCGATACTGTTGATACACGATTTGATTAAGTAAAAATGTTTATAAATGCTAAATTTTCATAAATAAATTCATTGAGTTGTAGCAAACAGAAAAGATTATTTAGCGAGACTCAGAATTCAGTTCGTATCAACAGCATTGCAGTGCCTACATTTTTACAAATACGCAATGAAACAGTCTGTTAATCTCGCTTGTATACCGATACATTGCAGACAGTTTTCCATATTAACAGTAACATCAACATTTTCTTAACTTGGTGCTCATCATTTCTCTTAAGCCATTCTAATGCTCTGAATTATTTGAAATACAGCTGAAAATTAAAAAGTTTGAATGAAACAAATTTTATTTAAATCAATAAAAAAAATGAACAGCCATCATAATTAAACTTACCAGAACCACATACAACAAAAAGGAAGAGTGCTAGGAGACAAGGCCCCACTGGAGATCCTTCATCTTGAGGTTTCTACAATAAATGCATTGCATGTTGATATTAATAATATACACAAAATGATCGAAATGCTACTTCCAAAACTATTACGTATATTTCGATTACATATGGTAGAAATGTTACTTTATTACATTATGTTTAAAACTATCGAGTAATAAACAGTTTTCAAAGATTCAGAAATGATCGAATTAGTATTCTAAAATAAATACTCTAAAATAAAATACGATGCTACGATACTGTCGTAAACGTCATTGTACCACATATGTTATTAGCACTCGTACAGGTAACAGAGTTTATAACCTCAAATCTAAAAGGTGACAACCGCTTCTTTTCGTAAGACTTAAATCGTCCAATGTACGATTAACGATAAATAAAAAGAACTTTACGAAAGAGTAAATCGGTTAGCTTACCGACGATTTAGGTACGTTTCCACGAAGCATGATGTTTTTCGTGGCTTTTTCGTTGGCGATGCGCATTCTCTGTTTAGGTGCCATTTCGACAGCTTCTCGTACGTTGTTTGTACTCGAAGAAAGTTGGGAAGAAGGTGGTCGTCGATTGAAATGCTACTCTTGTCACTCGTTTACCACTTCAATATGTAAAAACCTCCGAACAACAAACAGGTGTGTACAGGCTCACGCTTGGCACCCGAACTGCGTCGACGTGTGCGCTTTGACACGTGAATAACTCACATTTGTACGACAGAGCAGCTTTTAGTGCCACACTGGCACCATTTAAGTCATCTCAGCGACTGTACAATCACATGTAATATCGCGTGAAGCATCAGTATACGTGTAACCTTATTATTTTGTAATTTTACGTTGTTTTTATTTAGCCATTTATGTATATTAATAGCATTAATAACGTATGAACGATTTACGCGGAATTACTTTGGGCAACGTGGTACTTTCCTATTTTGTATCGCGAACAATCGAAATGCTCTCATGATTCGTTTTGTGGAATTTTTTTCTTTAGCGAAAATCAACGTAAAAGGAACAAATGTACGTAGAATATGGTAAGACGAGGTACGTTTAACATCGTTTTTCATTGTTGTATCAACCATTAGTTGATGGCATGTTGTAGAGATTGTTCAGCTTGTTTGTATATGATAATTGGGATCGATGCATTAATAAAAGGTGGTAGATTTGTACGTAGAAATTTTATATTTCTTAGAACTGCTACGACTAACAACAAACTGTATATTCGTTCGAATGTCCTCACTGATATTCGTCATTCGACAGTGTATCATCAGGATAAACATGTTCACTGTGATTTCCAAATCCCAATCTCCTTCGTTTTATCGTTAGTCCTTTAGCAGCGATCGATCCCCCCTTAGGCGTTTTTCTGCGTGAAGAGGGTCGCTATCGAAAGAATCATCTTATCTCTGGATATAGACTCACAATACTTTACATTTTACCAATGCACTCGTACTTTGTAGTAAAGAAAATCCACACGAATGAAATGTGGCGGATAGTATGAAGCCAATGGTAACAAAATTTGTTATGTTCACATCCTTACTTCGATCTAACACCTAGCTTATCTAAAAATTAATGTTATTAATCGTCAATACTCAAACGTCGTTCTTTATATGACTAAAATTCCAGTCTAGAGTCACACAACTGAGGCATTCCGAACAATTTCTTTTCCTTTGAAAATTATAATATACTATTTACACACAACTGGTATTTCTTTTTTATGTTTTCGAAATTCTAATGAATCCTTGACATTCGCTGGTATTTGAAAATGTTACTATTTAATCAGAAATTAATTATAAAACATTCGTGTCGAGTATATCGAAACTTTCAAAATATAAACTCATAATTCCTTTGTTAAACTTTTATGCGCTACGTATATTTTCCAGCAGTGTTCAGCGAAATTGAGCAATATTATATAGTCAGTTATCGTAAGTAAAATAGTGATCCTAGTTAGATAATCATCGGAACCTGTGTTTTATATGTATATTACGGAACTGTGACTCATGGGATGCATAATATATGCGACTGTTTGAATTGGAAAACAGTTTGTTTCGAAGATGTACGCTATCTACTAGCCATAGGACTCGACTTCAAATATTTCTGTGCTGATGAATAAATCGTTTGCTCGACTCGAACATGTTACAATGTTTCATTAATCCGGAGTAATACAAAATCTGTTGAGAAATCAATAAATATAACAACAGAAATATTTCTCAAATATTCATTGATTCGGATGTTCCGTTTTATGAAGTGCGTTTATGTTGCGATAAATGTAAGTAATTAATACTACTGGAAGAAGAGTCCTACTTTGCGAAAATCAGCAGACATCATTCTGTACGCTTTAATTTTTTTTTTTAATCCACGGCGTAGACGTTACACTAAAGTTGTGCTTTAGTCTATTTTAACTGTGGAATAAATCTTTCGCACAAATGCATTAGTACCAACGTAACCGACTGTTCCGCACATTATGCCTAAGGCCAGGCTAAATAACGCCATGTAACCGAAGTAAAATGCTGTTTGGAAGAGACCATACATTCTGAAAAAAATATGATAATGTTATTATATTTTTAACAAATTTATATTTATCATAATGAAATGCTTAATCAATGCAAACTTACTTTGTTTTAAAGAAGAAATAATAAAAGGAGTATACGTAGACATATCCAGCAGTTGAAGCTGCGGCTAAGAAACTTGTCCACTGCCTATAAAATGAACAAGAGTAAAGTGAATAAAATAAATAGATAACTTGATAACGTACACGAGTAGTCGAATAATACTCACCATCGATAATCTTCAGCGTTTAGCAAAAAGTATGTACAAACGATAGTAACGCAAACGGTTACTATCATTAAAATAACGAATACTAATAACATGAAACCGTACACGTAATAGATTTTATATGCCCAAAATGAAGTAAAAATGAAGTACCTGAAAAGAAAAGTAGAATATAATTTTACTTGTTCCACAATACTTGGCCATGTAAATGATGCAACCTACATTTCGATGAATATCGATCCGAAAGGTAGGATACCACCGAGCATTATGATGATCAGTGGTTCCATAAACCACTTTTTTTCGGGTATAGGTCGAGGAACTGCGTTAACTCTACATGGTGCGTCCGGTGTTCCAGCTAAATTACGGCCTAATACGGTTCCAACCAATGTTAATGGTAATATAACAAATATACAAATACATGTAACTGCCACCTGAACATTAAACGAATTTTGTTAACATATCGTAAATAATTACTTACATATATACACACAATTAAATATTTAATAGCGCTTACCATAGAACCGAAAGGTATAGCGCGGCTAGCATGATAATACATAGCGATAAAGTTAATGAAGAATGCTGTGCCACAGACGATAAGAGGTAACATAAAGGCACTGAGTATCATCTGTTTGATCCAAATACGTCCTCCCATGCGAGCATATAAACCTCCGCCAGCGTAACCGTTTATAGGTGATGTAGCGGCATATACAAAAATTGCTGTAGATAGCATCGACCCTCTTTCCGTATAAAGCTCTCCGAGGATAGCGAAAATGATAACGCTAAGTACAACAACTGTGACCTGAAAAACGAAACCAATCACTAAGATATTGCCTCAGCTCTTCTACGAGCGTAAATGATTAATTAACGAATGAATTACCTGATAGCCTGCACCTATAAGAGCTGAGAAAACCATCGCATGACTAGCCGGTCTAAATACATCCCCGTGAACTTGCTTCCAGCCGTATTCATCGCCTAAATCTCGTTCCATATCGTCCATTTCTTCGTCTCTACTGTATCTAGCATAGTCTTTTCTCAAGGTGCGCATTAATATCATTGAAACGAGTCCAACGAGAAATATTACCATCATGAAACTATTGAAGATACTGAACCAATGAATCTAATAAAAGTAAAAATAATTTTAATAATAAAATATAGATGTGGATTCGAATATTTGTTACTAACATTTTTCAAGTAACATTATGCTTACTCTATGTTGGAAGAAGTTAGGATCCAAGTATTTGTTGAATCTATCTTCGAATTTTTCATTACTCTTTTTCCAATTGACTTCATAACTAAAAGAAATGGCTGCACCTTGCACCAATTTCACTTTATTTTCACTGGTTAAATTTACATCAACTATTTGCTTTCCATTGTATCCTATATCAAATTTCTTGTGGGTCCAAATGTAATAAGATGTAACCCCGTTATCTTCTTCTGGTTCTCCCACAACTCCTATGGAATATCATAAAAAAGAACATTGAATAATATAGTAGTGAAGTACTATAGAGAATGAAATCAATATCGTTGTTTACCCCAAATTGGTAAGTCATCCATGTACATCTTATACCAATACTGATTCTTCACTGCATATATAAAGGCTTTTTCACTCTCTTCTGACAATCTTATTTGACAATACTCTGTTTTTGAAACATCAGCTGCCAAATACAAACAGTTATTAAAACATATAAAAAAATATAACAGGGAGTTAATGTTAATTAATTAATGAGATTAGAAAGTACCCTTAAATTCGATCTCCAGCCCACTAAATTTCAGTTCAATGCCTTGCAGTGCTTCAGAAAAAGTTTCGTGATAATGATTGATGACATCCTTTGTGCCCATACAAAAAGGTAACGAATAGTACGAGTAAGTTTCTTGGCGATTATGATATGGTCCAACAGTACTCATCCACAGTACAACCTCGTCGTTATCGTCGTACTAACAAAAGAATTATTGTTACATTCCTTAAAATTAAGGTGTAAAAGTATCAAAAGTTTTATTTCAAGAATAATATAAATTTACAATAACATATTCGCTCGTGTTAGAAGTATAATGAAAGAATTAGGATAATGAGGAATGCAAGGTCAGCATCATTGAGCCAACGAGGATATGGTTAAGATGTACTTGTAACTTTGACATTTTAGAAATATGTCAATTTGTGGAAACTTACAACGTGAGTGTGCTCGTCGGGACGGGCAAAGGGGAGTAGGCTAAGCGCCATAAAGTGGAATAACAATCGACCCCGACACATGTTCATCGTGACGGGAAGGCGCGCTAGGCGCCTTATGCTACTACAGACAAAAATTCAATGATATCCGACAATACAAACACTCCATAGATTCACGAAACGTGACCAACGTAGCAGAAACACCGGACGGACAGACACCAGCGGACACGTATTAAAATGCAACGATGACACTCGCTGTAACCGCTAATACGCGCTAGCTGTTGACGATGATTCACCTGCTGTCACGTCAGGTGTCACTTACATCGACTATCTTAGATTATCAGAGTCGCGATTTTGATTGGTCGCCGCCATTTTATATGTTATTTACACGACGATTTAGACGTTTATTCTATAGGTACGAATAGGTACCAAACATCGTAACCCTCGAAGCTTTTGCGCCATTGAGCTTTAGTTTTTATAATATCAATCGTTAAAGTTCATAAAGTTTCGTCATGTGGTAGGTTTCGAATTTAAAAAAATTCTTACAGATTACGGTTTGGCGTAGTAGCTGGAGCGTCAGACTCATGAAGACTCATACGTTGGCGGCCACGGTTCGAGTCTCCTCCGCGGGGATTTTTTTTTTCTTTTATTAACAGAAAAAAATAACTATACTCTATGAAATTCTAAAAGAATCGATAAAACGAAGAAAATACTTGATATTTTACTATGAATCGTTTAAAAGAAAGTCAAAGATATATTTATTTTTTACAGATTCTTTTTGTTATAATTACACAAAACGAAATCTTGTTATAATTATTCCTCCGGCCAAGGCTTTCCTATACCTTGAGACGCACCCATTCTCGATGGATCTTGACTCGGATAATGTATCGGAGTAGTCCCTGGTGGGAAAATTGGCGTTGCGGCGGCTGCTGCCATTTGCGGTGGAAACATAAATTGTGGAGCTACTGGTGGAGGGGGAATCATCATTGGTGGAATCATGCCAGGAGTAGTTTGTAGGTTGAAGAAGTTGTTTCCCATGCTTTCAGGTGGTGGTGGTAGCGCTCCAGGTAAACCTGGTACAGGTTCTAAGATCTCTCTAGTTGCCTCTGCTGCGGACACGGTTTGCCTGCCTTGCGATCTGCCCCATTTAATAGTCAATCTTCTTCCTCCCAATATCAGTTTGTTAAACGTCCTTTCCGCTGCAGCTTCTGCAGCGCTTCTTTGCGTGTACTGAATAAATGCGCACTGCTGGCGAGGAACCATCGTTACCGAACGTATTTCTCCGTACTGATAGAAATGATCGCGCAACTGCTTTTCCGTTAAGATGTCTCCTAAGTTACCAATGTATAGAGTCGTAATCGATTTATCTTCCGGGGGGTCTAACTTCGGCATAGCCGCAGCTCTGCGCATTAATTTATCCGCCACAGGATCGTTCACACCGTAATAACGATCCTTAATGTTCTGATCGGCCAATGGATCGTCGGGATCGGTAGGTTTCTCGTGACGATAAGGACATTCTTCTCCTCTTTTACATTCTCCCTTAACCCAAAAGGAACAAATGTGCGGTCTATTCCTTTTATAATAAGGACTCGTTCTCGCCAGTTTCATCAGTAAATCGCTGGCAGCCGCGGATTTACCGACGGCACCAGCCGGCGTTGTCGGATCAATCTTACCAATTTCGCTATCTATGTTTTGTACGTAATATTCTTTGTTTACATCAGATCTGGGCAAGTCGTCTTTAATTTTAAGTGCTGCGTCGCGTACTTGGATTGGCAAACCGTATTCTAAATCGAGTAAACATGTTTGACACACATTTTTTAAACGACTGCAAGTTTGACATACTTCGGTCTTCTTGAAACGCATTCTCGCGCCAGGACACCACCTGAATACTGTGAACGGTCGCATACATATTTTACACTCCTTTCCGTATCTTTCTTTTGTCTGTAAACAGGCAATAATTGAGCAATAATGGAAACATAAATTTTTATAAAATTAACTCACCATTCGAATATACGGATTATCACCTAAGCAAGTTTGACATAGTATCGGAAATTCCTAAAATGAAACATAATGCTTTGATAAACGTTCCCCTTTTAACGAGCTAAAATTAGGATACGAATTCGACAGTACTCACAGCATCTTCCCAATTCTGCCTATTGTACGTGTTTGTTGTTTTCGACGTGGCCATTTCGAGCTACTTTATTATATATAAAATCCTTGGATTCGTTTCACAACTCACAACAAAGCAATACACCATAGATACACCTTCGACGAGTATCGTAAATAGAGTCAATCGTCATTAATCAACAACATGGGCGTACATTGATACGTATCGTTCATTGATAACAGACGACACACGGAAGAACACTTGTGGTGACCTCTGACGATAATTAACGGTACACTCTTTATTGAAAATACAACGGACCAATGAAATGAAATTTATGATGGCAGATACTCGAACCATAGAAATTCGACTTGAGACACCCGTTCGATGCGTTTATGAATACTCGAATAGGTAGGGTAGGTATGGTAGAAGTTAGCAACAAACGAAACCGTCAGGGGTGGGAGATGCTTCCATCGGGAAAGAACGGTTAGAGGGACTCGCGACGCAGAAGGCCGCGGGAGAAGCTGTACGTGCTCGTTGCAAAATGGCCACGTCCGACTCCAAAGCGCCTCTGCGAACCGTGAAAAGGGTCCAATTCGGCATTCTTTCACCCGATGAAATAGTAAGTTCGTTACTTGTAAACGACTGAACACGTGAGATATCGTTTGTGTCGCGTTTCGCGAAATTTTCATCATCAGTCGACATTTTGTGAAACCTTATCGCGTGAGGAGGCATTCGATGTTCCTTCTAAACAGACGCGCGTGATGATTTTTGATTGGTGCTTCTTGTTTGTATTGGTCTATTTATGCGGGAAAATACCGTATAAAATTATATGATACGTGCAATTAGAATTGTTTATTATACGATTGTTATTTTTTAATATGGATGTTTACAATTTACTTTTCTTTTCCATTAACTACTCAGAGTAATTTTTTAATAAAGACTCATGAGAATATGAAAATGTTTTGATTGAATATCGATAAAGAGTAAAGAAGATTAAATTCCAATATAAGTCTATGTATATTGTACAATTTACATACAACTTGTAATAAATGAAAATGTTTGGCTATGATGATAAATATATAGTTGTATTTCTTTACTACATTTCTTTACTTTGTTGCCCTATTATTCCTCTTACAATTATATACTTATTTGTATGTTTACATTCCATGTTATATGAGAAAAGACCAGTTTCAGAATCGCATCGGATAGCAGGAAATTATCAATTTGATTTAATTTTATATAATGTTTTGCGCAGCGTCGGATGTCTGTCACAGATGGCGGCATTCGCTTTCCAGAAACCATGGAAGGTGGTCGCCCGAAGCTTGGGGGTCTCATGGACCCGAGGCAGGGTGTCATCGACAGAAATTCTCGGTGCCAGACATGCGCCGGTAACATGACCGAATGCCCAGGGCACTTTGGTCATATAGATTTGGCCAAACCAGTCTTTCACGTTGGTTTTATAACAAAAACAATAAAGCTTTTAAGATGCGTGTGTTTTTATTGTTCAAAAATGCTCGTTAGTCCGGTAAGTCCGAGTCAATTAATTACTTATTCCACCTGTTAATATTATAAGCTTTTAACGCTACGTTTTTATTTGCAGCACAATCCGAAAATAAAAGAAATCGTCATGAAAACTAAAGGTCAGCCGCGTAAACGTCTGACGTTCGTTTACGATTTATGTAAAAGTAAAAATATTTGCGAGGGCGGAGACGAAATGGATATCAACAAGGAAAATCAGGAGCAACAGCCCACGGATAGGAAACCAGGACACGGTGGTTGCGGTAGATACCAACCTAATCTTAGGAGATCGGGTCTGGACGTTACCGCGGAATGGAAAGACGTAAATGAAGATTCACAAGAGAAGAAAATAGCAGTAACCGCTGAAAGAGCATGGGAAATTTTAAAACATATCACAGACGAAGAGTCGTTTATTCTTGGAATGGACCCAAAATTCGCTCGTCCTGATTGGATGGTCGTAACAGTTTTACCTGTTCCACCTTTATCGGTTAGACCAGCGGTTATTATGTACGGTTCCGCTAAAAATCAGGACGACTTGACGCACAAACTTGCGGATATCATAAAATCGAACAACGAATTGATTAGAAACGAGCAGGCTGGAGCGGCGGCACACGTAATATCGGAGAACATAAAGATGTTGCAATTTCACGTAGCGACACTGGTCGACAACGATATGCCTGGAATGCCAAGAGCGATGCAAAAGTCAGGAAAACCATTGAAAGCTATAAAAGCGAGACTGAAAGGAAAAGAAGGTAGAATCAGAGGTAACTTGATGGGTAAACGCGTCGACTTCTCAGCTCGTACCGTCATCACACCAGATCCAAATTTACGCATCGACCAAGTAGGCGTGCCTCGAAGTATCGCCCAAAACTTAACATTCCCCGAAATCGTGACGCCTTTTAACATTGACAAAATGCAAGAACTCGTCAGACGCGGAAACTCTCAGTATCCAGGTGCTAAGTACATCGTTAGAGACAACGGTGAGAGAATCGATTTAAGATTTCACCCGAAACCGTCCGATCTCCATCTACAATGCGGGTATAGAGTGGAGCGTCACATTCGCGATGGCGATTTGGTGATCTTCAATCGTCAGCCAACTCTGCACAAGATGAGTATGATGGGTCACAGAGTGAAAGTTCTGCCATGGAGTACATTCCGTATGAATCTCAGCTGTACGTCACCCTACAACGCTGATTTCGACGGTGACGAGATGAACCTGCACGTCCCGCAATCGATGGAGACTCGCGCAGAAGTGGAGAATATCCACGTGACGCCGCGTCAGATCATCACGCCGCAAGCCAACAAACCCGTCATGGGTATCGTACAGGACACGCTTACAGCTGTGCGAAAAATGACGAAAAGAGACGTATTCATAGAAAAGGAACAAATGATGAACATCCTGATGTTCTTGCCAAGCTGGGACGGCAAGATGCCTCAGCCATGTATATTGAAACCGAAGCCTCTGTGGACTGGCAAACAAATTTTCTCCTTGATTATACCAGGCAACGTGAATATGATAAGAACTCACAGCACGCATCCAGATGAGGAGGACGACGGTCCGTACAAATGGATATCCCCTGGCGACACAAAGGTCATGGTAGAACACGGGGAACTCGTGATGGGTATCCTGTGTAAGAAAACTCTGGGTACATCCGCAGGTTCTCTTCTCCACATTTGTATGCTGGAGCTGGGTCACGAAGTTTGCGGACGGTTTTACGGAAATATTCAGACTGTGATTAACAACTGGTTGCTGCTGGAAGGTCACTCTATCGGTATCGGTGATACTATCGCTGATCCGCAGACTTACTTGGAAATTCAGAAAGCAATCAAAAAGGCTAAAGAGGATGTAATAGAGGTGATTCAAAAGGCTCACAACATGGAGCTGGAACCTACTCCTGGTAACACTTTGAGGCAGACTTTCGAGAATCAAGTGAACAGAATTTTGAACGACGCTCGTGACAAAACTGGTGGCTCTGCTAAGAAATCTTTGACGGAGTACAATAATCTAAAGGCTATGGTGGTATCTGGTTCGAAGGGGTCCAATATTAATATTTCTCAGGTTATCGCTTGCGTGGGTCAACAGAACGTTGAAGGTAAACGTATTCCATTCGGTTTCCGTAAGAGAACGCTACCTCATTTCATTAAAGATGATTACGGTCCCGAGTCCAGAGGATTCGTAGAGAATTCGTATCTCGCTGGTCTGACTCCGTCCGAGTTTTATTTCCACGCTATGGGAGGTCGTGAAGGTCTTATCGATACCGCTGTAAAAACTGCTGAAACTGGATACATCCAGCGTCGTTTAATAAAGGCTATGGAGTCTGTAATGGTACACTACGACGGAACGGTCAGAAACTCCGTGGGTCAGCTCATTCAGTTGCGTTACGGCGAGGACGGTTTATGCGGCGAAACTGTCGAATTCCAAAACTTGCCCACTATCAAGTTGAGCAACAAAGCTTTCGAGAAGAAATTTAAATTCGATCCAACCAACGAACGTTACCTTCGTCGCATCTTCAACGAAGATATCGTCAGAGAGATGATGGGATCTGGAGAAGTGATCTCCGAACTGGAGAGGGAATGGGAACAATTGAACAAGGATCGTGCTGTACTCAGAGAGATCTTCCCCAGCGGTGAATCGAAAGTTGTATTGCCATGTAATTTGCAGAGAATGATTTGGAACGTGCAGAAGATTTTCCACATAAACAAACGAGCACCTACCGATCTTAGTCCAATGAGAGTCATAGAAGGTGTGAAGGATCTTCTAGAGAAATGTATCATTGTGGCTGGCGACGACAGACTCAGCAAACAGGCAAACGAAAATGCCACTCTGTTATTCCAATGTTTAGTAAGGTCTACTTTGTGCACCAAGTGCGTTTCCGAAGAATTCAGGTTATCTAGCGAAGCCTTCGAATGGCTTATCGGAGAAATTGAGACAAGGTTTCAGCAAGCACAGGTATCACCTGGTGAGATGGTAGGTGCTTTGGCTGCTCAGTCGCTCGGTGAACCTGCCACTCAAATGACATTGAACACTTTCCATTTCGCTGGTGTATCGTCGAAGAACGTAACTCTCGGTGTACCTAGACTGAAGGAAATCATAAACATCAGCAAGAAACCAAAGGCTCCGTCCTTGACGGTGTTCCTAACAGGAGCCGCGGCGAGGGATGCGGAAAAAGCAAAGAACGTGCTTTGTCGATTGGAGCACACCACGCTGAGGAAAGTCACGGCGAATACCGCGATTTACTACGATCCAGATCCACAGAACACCGTAATCGCGGAGGATCAGGAATTCGTTAACGTGTATTACGAAATGCCCGACTTTGACCCGGCCAAGATATCGCCATGGTTGCTCCGTATCGAGTTAGACAGAAAGAGAATGACCGACAAAAAGTTAACCATGGAACAAATCGCGGAGAAGATAAACGCTGGTTTTGGGGACGACTTGAACTGCATATTCAACGACGACAACGCCGAAAAATTAGTCTTACGAATTAGAATAATGAACAGCGATGAAAACAAATTCCCAGAATTCGAGCAGGAGACCGTAGACAAAATGGAGGACGACATGTTCCTTCGGTGCATCGAAGCGAACATGCTGAGCGACATGACGTTACAGGGTATCGAAGCCATTGGAAAAGTATATATGCATTTACCACAAACTGATTCCAAAAAACGCATCGTTATAACGGAGACTGGCGAATTCAAAGCGATAGCGGAATGGTTGCTGGAAACTGACGGAACAAGTTTGATGAAAGTACTGAGCGAAAGAGACGTGGACCCTGTTAGGACATTTAGCAACGATATTTGTGAAATATTCCAAGTGTTAGGTATAGAGGCTGTGAGAAAGTCGGTAGAGAAAGAAATGAACGCTGTACTGCAATTCTATGGTCTTTACGTAAACTACCGTCACCTTGCTTTGCTTTGCGACGTTATGACTGCCAAAGGACACTTGATGGCTATAACGCGTCACGGAATTAACAGACAGGACACTGGCGCCCTTATGAGGTAAGTTGTTGGAAAATGATGGAACGTACCTGCAGATTCTTCGATTACATTTTATCGATGACAATCTATAGGTAAAAATAATGAAATATCACACGTAGACTTACGTGTCATCTTTTGCTTCGTTTCAGATGTTCTTTCGAAGAAACGGTAGATGTTTTATTGGACGCCGCATCTCACGCAGAGGTCGATCCTATGAGAGGAGTGTCCGAAAACATTATTATGGGACAGCTTCCGCGGATAGGAACAGGTATTATTTCCACCGTTTGGTGTATTTCAACAAAGTAAATAAATACCACATTCGATCCACTTAATTTGTATGCTTCATTTTCTTCTAGGATGTTTCGATTTGTTGTTGGATGCCGAAAAATGCAAGGCTGGTATTGAAATACCTATGGCAGTGGGAGCTGGTGTAATGGGAACCGCTGGAATGTTCTTCGGTAGCGTCGCCACGCCCAGCATGAGTCCTCAAATGACACCTTGGATGGGCGCTACTCCTGGTTACGGCGCTTCGAGCATGTCACCTGGTACGAACATTACACATAACATTATAATATTAATTAACATTCTTTTATTAACTCATCGATGATGAACGTGTAATTCTTTTCACAGCACTGGGCAGTGGTATGACACCAGGAGGTGCATGCTTCTCGCCATCAGGAGCGTCTGATGCTTCGGGGCTTTCACCCGCGTATTCCGCGTATTCGCCTCAACCAGGAAGCCCGGGAAGTCCAGGACCCAGTATGAGTCCGTACCCCATGTCACCAGCAGGTGGTGCGTCACCAAGCTATTCGCCTACATCTCCCGCCTACCTGCCAACGTCACCGAGCATGACACCGTCGAGTCCCAACTACTCGCCTACGAGTCCAACTTACTCGCCAACCAGTCCAAATTATTCACCTACGAGTCCTTCGTACTCGCCAACATCACCCAGTTACTCGCCAACGTCGCCAAGTTATTCACCAACGAGTCCCAGTTACTCGCCAACGAGTCCAAGCTACTCGCCAACGAGTCCTTCGTATTCTCCAACATCGCCCAGTTACTCGCCAACGTCACCGAGCTATTCACCAACAAGTCCAAGCTACTCGCCCACGAGTCCTTCGTATTCACCTACGAGTCCTAGTTATTCGCCAACGTCACCGAGCTATTCACCGACGAGTCCTTCGTACTCGCCAACGTCGCCAAGTTATTCGCCTACCAGTCCCAGTTACTCACCAACGAGTCCAAGCTACTCGCCGAGTTCACCGAATTACACGCCAGCCTCGCCGTCGTACTCGCCCACGAGTCCAAGTTACTCCCCCAGTTCTCCGCAATATTCGCCAGCTAGTCCCAGTTATTCGCCGAGTAGTCCGAAATATTCTCCTACGAGTCCGAGTTACTCGCCCACATCTCCATCGTTCGCTGGAACCTCGCCACAGTACACGCCAGCCAGCCCAACGTATTCGCCTACGAGCCCGACATACTCACCAACGAGTCCCTCTTACTCCCCGAGTTCACCGCAGCATACAGCTTCGGGGAGCACGAGATACTCGCCCAGCAGTCCAAACTACTCTCCCACTAGTCCTACGTACTCGCCCACAAGTCCTCAGTACTCGCCATCGAGCACCAAGTACTCGCCCACGAGTCCCACCTATACACCGACCAGTCCGAGTTACTCGCCAACGAGTCCAACGTACTCTCCGCCAGTGCCTGGATACTCGCCTACGAGTCCTACCTACTCACCGGCGTCGCCAGCCTACGAGGCAGACGATTAACAAGTATTACGCATATCTGTACGGATCTTGTATGTTAAACTCTTACCATGGATTAGGTATAAGCGCGATAAGTTGTAATTACTGCTGCTACAATTCTAAATTTTCTAAGCCCGTAAATATATATTTAGTATATAAAGTTATGCACGGTTTTTTTTCAAATTGTCGTATTTGTCACCTACATGGCCATAGTTTGGGTACTTTGGTTCTTCTATTTCAAGGAAGAAGAACGAGTGCTCCATTTTAAGGGACATTCCCGAACACTGGGCGAACGGAAGACGACGCGCGAGTACGATGGTAAATTTCTTATGCCGTGTTTGTTGTATCGAAGAGAGACGCTAAACCAAAGACACGATTAGTACACCAAATGTACTACATTTTGCATATTCATGACCTACCCCATGTGTATTCATAACTTGACGTACAAAATGTACTAATGCTTTACATAAGTCTCAAATCTATAGAGTGTCCGATACATATTAAATTGATAACACTTATTTTAAAGCGAATGTTAAATTACTCTCATATTTCAAGTAACGAAATCATTATTTTAGATAACAAAGCGTGAAGGAAAGAGTTGTTTTAAATTTGCATTTTAAAATCGAACACTTTTCGACCTAGGTTCTTGTTAACATAAATTAATTAAATTAATAGGTACATTGCTCGTGGCAGAGTCCTACGATAGGAATCGAAAAGTTGATTATTACTTAAAGTAGCTACACTTTTCGAATACTTATTTTAATTTACCAAAGACTGTGTGTGACACGTTTGTGGGTCTTCCTTCGTTGCTCTCATCGTGTCTGGTTAAGCCATTTGCGTTCAATAAAGTATCGGGTTTCGTTTTGTGCGGTACTCGCCACCGCACACGAAAACCGGTTCAAGTTCCGCGTCGATGTCGAACAGTGTGAATTATTTCTCGTCATGAATCGCGAGAGGCTACCGCTGCTTTTTAGAAATGTTAATTCGGATCTGTCGCTTCTGTTCGCCACGTTATGTGTCATCGACATATTCGGCGTCTTTCCAATAATTGCGTTACCGCGCACGATCGTTCAATGCGGTAAGTGTCTCACTTATTCAATTTTGAAAAGGTAGATTCGCCGAATAAGAAATAGATACCCGACGAGACGATCGTTCGCTTTGTTTTAAACGAAACATGTTTAACATCTCTTGTGAATAGCTTTATTAAGTACCGTATATTTTTTGTGATGGAAAAACGCAAACATCAGTTTGATGGATTTCGGCTATTTTCTAATGTATAATATATATGTATATGTATATATACATATACAAACAATCGTTTGTATGTATAATGTAACTTTTATTTTGATTTAAATTTAAACGATTTATATAATTGACCTGTATTTAACATATTGCAATTACTGTAAGAAAGATCTATGCGAAGAATAGACGAGGTGTCGTGTGAAAGAGTTGATTATTTGAAGGAAATAAAATTGGTTAACTTGTTAAAGGAGTTTGTTATTCGAGCCATGTATTGATCGCATACAACAAATGCTCGTGTGATTTTAGGTTTGTATGGGATTCCTTTAGTTATTATCGTTTTGATGCTACAAATTTATACAGCCGTGCTCCTCGGGAAGTCATGGACAATTGCAACTTCTCTGGATCCGCAAATTTCACGAAAAAATCGGTAAGATCGTATCTTTGTTTTCTCGTATTTTCGTGGAATTTATTTTAATCTTCCTTCCAGACATCCGCTTGCTGCTGTGACCGAATTAACGTTAGGTCCTCGGGCAAGGACTTTGGTCACTATACTTTTAGATTTTACTGTTTTTGGTTGCAGTATACCTAATCTGCTGGTTGGTACGTTCTCGGTATACATTTTGATAATGTTATAATTACTTATACTTGTACTGATCGCGAATAAATTCCAGCATCACAGAATTTGCAATTGTTTGGATTAAAAGTATCTGGACAACGATTCGATCTATCTTTCTGCTATTGGCTTCTGCTCGTGGGTCTGCTTTTGTGTCCCATAATGTGGCTTGGTAGTCCACGTGACATGAAGTAAATCAATCAATCATAAAAATAATGTTTCATAGTTATAAATCAAGTGTTGGAATACTTGTATAATATTCGCAGATTGTTGGTGACAATTTCTTGCGTAATGGTCATACTAACGGCAGTTTTAATATGGTGGTGTATAATTGCCGACGATCGAGATCTCGATGTATCACCGGTACCCACTTCACCATCTTGGGATAAATTCATTTCTGGGTAAGTATATCGACAGTATTAATCACGCTTAACATCACGTGCTCTTCAATTTCATTTTTCAGATATGGTATGCTGGCATTCCAGTTTGACGTTCATCCTACGTTAATGACTGTGCAAGTGGATATGCGTCGTCCCCAGCATATCGACAAAGCTGTTACAATTTCTTTCTTAGGTAAGAAAACATTTACTTAATATTTATTCCACGACTAGCTATATCGTTAATTACAGTAAGTGGTTCGTTATTTGCTATTACTGCTGGCTTGGCTGTCTGGAGATACGGTGGTAGTACAACAGCTAATGTTCTACAAGTGGTCCCAGGAAATTTCATTATGAGCGCAGCTATTCTACTCGCTGCGCTTCAACTCTGCCTGTCGAGTGCTATAGGCCACTCCGCTCTATTTCAGGATCTGGAGGATCAATGGAATATCCAGAGATGTAATAACTGAGAGACCCTACGTCACAGATTTCAAAAAGTATCTCATCCTTCTAAGATAAATAATTTTGTGATAGCTTTTGGATGGAAAAGATGCGCGATACGATCAGCCGTTGTTCTCCTTGGGGTGGCCGTAGGAGAATCTGTGCCGAGATTCGACATCGTGATGGCTTTGATCGGAGGATCTCTAACCGGTCCACTAGTCTTTGTGCTCCCACCATTGATGTATTCGAAAGCTGTTGCTCTGAAAGCGAGATCTATGCGTACATTGACTCCCGAAGTGTATTCGTGCTCTGAGAAACGCCAGAGCCTCGGAGGAGGTATGTCAACTGATCCAAGGATTCATTCGAGATCGGTTTACTATGGCGTTTTAGGAGTGCCTAAAACCGAATGTCATCGATACTCGTACGTTTACTATGACGATACCGATGACGAGCTCGACGACGTTATGGGCTACGAGAACGATATCCTGAACACTGAAGAAACCAACGAAGAGTATGCAATGACAAGAAGAAACTACGATGGCGAACCAGTATTCGTAGATGCCAGTAGACCCTTTAGAACTTGCAGAAGAATCACAGTTTCCGAGGAACCAGTCCCCAAGTCATTTATAAATTGCGCTTTTCAAAGATGGAATAACTGGTTCGGTTACTTGATTGTACTATTCGGTATTGCTGTCACTGTTTCTTCGACCTACATTAACATTAAAAATACAATTCGTTATGTACAATTCACACCACCGTGCATCGTGAATGCTACCGTCGTACAAAATCCTACTTAAACAAGAGCGTCTTTTACAGAGTATTATGTGTTTTATAGGAGAAAAATAATACAATTGCACATACTTTTCTGCGTGATTATTATAGGTGTGACCGATACGAACACAATCAGTCTTTTATTACTGTATACGTGAACGTTTTATCAATTAAATCTGTGAGGACAAACCTGTATAAGATCAAATGTTTTCCCTTTTGGTTTGATTCGAAATTTTTTTGCGGGCTTCTAACTTTCAGAAACGTCCGCTGTGTAGCAGTGCCGCACCAACAAAAATGCGCACTCTCTGATAAAGCATGTAGACCTTCGAATTTTTATCTCTACAGAATTTATATCTATGCTATATTTATATTGATACTAAATTCTTATCTGTTCGAAATTTCATATGTTGCACAGCAGAAATTTCTGTACGCTATAGTTCATTTTTCATTTTATAATCTCGAGTAGAATGTTTCGTAACATGCACGTGTTCGTTAGAATCAGCTGATTGGATGAACTATTCTTAATCATGAAGGTTACCTTGAAAAAGCATTTCTGTGGACGTATATATACGTATTTCCTGTGAACTATAGCGAAGTTCTACTGTTTACAGGTATACATTTTTAAATAAAAACATCGTTTATCGAATAAATTCTATTTAATTCTATTATTATTCACAGAATTTTGAATAATTTTAAGATTTAACTGCGAACTTGATCGTTCGAAACGGTTTGAAATCATTCTACGTCGATACAGAAGATTCTTCTACTAGAAAAATGTAATTTGTTTCCAGACACGTGTATCGTTTTTAAGATTCTCTCGGATCTCATTGGATTTCATAGCCTTCATATGAACGATTCATTACATCACGTTGTTCAACACATAGACGAATATCCATGGTTCAACATCTTTTTGATGAGTAGTGGAAGGGATAGACCGAACTTGTGACGTTTACCAACCAGATCTTACGATTACGATACTGTCCGCTGTGCTGTGGTCTGCTCAGGTCTGCTGTGGTCCGCTGTCCTGGTCCGTATCGAACGGATCCATTTTGCGCGATTAACTTCGATTATTTCGCTTCTTGTTTCGCTCGTTCTCGATTGTCATCAAAGAAAAACTTTTTTTTTTTTAAAATGATACCAAACTGCATCAGAAACATGGGCGCGCAAACGTCAAAACGAAATGTAAGTAGAAAATCTAACGAACGACAAATGACCTCTAGCTTGCCACTTTTCAACACGTTCCATTACCAGAGTCTCATTATAATTTCTAACCACGCTATTTTCGATCGAGTGTCTTCATTGATCGTTTGATCTTTCTTTTTTTTATATCCTCTGATGACTCGCCAGTTCGGGAGCTGGAACGAGGTAATTATTCGCAGGGATTTACCGATATGTTTGTTATCACCAACGTTCTCATAGTTTGCCAATCGCACCCTGCTCATGTTCCTTCCTTCTTTGACACTTTTTCTGTAATTTTCACGTGTCTCTTTCTTTTCTTAAACGATGTAATTAAATTAGAAGATCGCTGAAATGTTACCCGTTATTAAAATTTTACACGACTTCGTAAACACGTTGCTTAAAACATGCAAATATCAAGCTTTTTTTATTATATTTTTTTTTCGCACTATTCATGACACGAACATTGCACTTTATCGCAAAAAACTGAATACAGATGATTCGAAGTTTTCAATATTTATAGGTGGTGTCTTATTTCTTTAACAAGAAGAATAATTATGCCACGGAAGCTACGTTTGAAACCAAACCTTTTCGGCTACACAAATTGGACAATGGACCATCTACCCGTGTCACTTGTACCAGAGACGAAGCCTTAGATATTTACAAGAAGCTACACACAATCCGTCGTATGGAAACAGCAGCTGGTAACCTCTATAAAGAAAAAATTGTCAGAGGTTTCTGTCATTTGTATACCGGTCAAGTAAGTATCATTTTATTAGTTCCAAAGTTTATTTTACAAACATTTTTTCTAATAAACTGTTTTTGTGTTTCTGGTAGGAAGCTTGTGCAGTTGGAATGAAAGCAGCCCTTAGGCCACAAGACTCTGTAATCACTGCTTATCGTGCTCATGGATGGACTTATTTGATGGGAATAGAACCTGTTGGAGTTCTAAGCGAATTAACTGGTAGGAAAGGAGGTAATGCAAAAGGTAAAGGTGGTTCTATGCATATGTATGCCAGGAACTTTTATGGTGGAAACGGCATTGTCGGCGCTCAAGTGAGTATTAATCGTTAGAACCGCTAAACCACCTATCCGTGTATCGTTACTAAAATAATAAACATCTAGGTGCCACTGGGAGTTGGAATTGCTCTTGCTCAGAAATACATGAACACAGGAGGTGTGTGCCTTGCATTGTATGGAGATGGTGCAGCTAATCAAGGACAGGTATTCGAAGTGTATAACATGGCAAAGTTGTGGGATATTCCCTGCATCTTTGTTTGCGAGAACAACGGATACGGTATGGGTACTAGCGTCGATCGTGCTTCCGCGAGCACAGACTATTATACAAGAGGAGATTTCGTCCCTGGAATTTGGGTTTGTCTCAAAAACAAATAATTACAAGTCCTATTATCGTGTAAATTATATTAATTAATTGGATAAATTATTAGGTGGACGGTATGGATGTTCTGGCAGTTAGGGAAGCTACCAGATTCGCTATAGACTATTGCACATCCGGTAAAGGTCCGCTCGTCATGGAGACTGTAACCTACAGATACAGCGGTCATAGTATGTCCGATCCTGGAACTAGTTATCGTACAAGAGAAGAAATCCAGGAAGTAAGACAGACTCGAGACCCTCTTACTGGTTTCAAAGAACGAATTTTGGACGCTAATCTTGTTACCCCGGATGAAATAAAAGTAAGTTCCATTGGTGCTTCGGTATCGTTAACACTGGTTAACCTTGGTATCGTTTTGTTTCAGGCTATAGAAACCGAAATAAGGAAAACGGTAGATGACGCTGTGAAAACTGCAAAGGCGGACACTGAACTTCCAAACAACGAGCTTACCGCTGATATTTATGCTGAATGTTTAGAAAAAGAAATTCGTAACATAACTCCGTTCAATCCTCTGTCGCATACGAGGATAGGTCCAGCTGTTAACGCCTAGAACAATTTTCTAGAAAAGACCTTAAACGAATTAAATCATATGAAATCTCATATATTATAAAAACACCTGCCACTGATAAAGTTCATAGCTTGTACAGAGGACCTAGAAATTTAGGCAAAACCATAGGAAATCCTTGGATAATGGTTTCGTTTACCACTTACAGTTCGGTTGTATATATACGCAGTATATATTTATTTTATTTATAGATGTATAAATAGTACCTGAAAGGAATGGGTACGCGTTCTAGACCGATTAATGGAAGATATAATATCCACTGCCACGTTGTAACCGGCGATCTTTCATGTAAATACAATACATTAATCACTGTGAATCACGACAGTAAATGTATTTAGGACAATTCGAAGGACAATACGCTATTATTCGCTCTTTTATCCTCGGTGTTACCGTACAGTGCCATTCATGCTTATTATTTCATGTTAATAGAACAATTGAACATTGCTACACTTGTAAAATATTACAAATAATACAAAACGTAATTAAAACAGAAGCCTTTACTTGAAATTCAATAAAAACGTTATTTATAACTTGTTCCAACTTATTTTCGATTCCATATAGTAATTCGTTATTTGATTTTAGAACACGGTAAATGGTGTCAATGCATTTACGAACACATCGCGCAGCGTTTCTCAAATTGAAGAAATATGACAAATGCTTCTGTGATACTTTATTCTTATTACAGAGATCTTCAAACTTGTAATGCTAATCAGTTGGTGTTTGTATATGAACTTATTAAACGCTATTAACCCTGAACCTACTACGACCGATCAAATAACCGTTTGCAAACTTTTGTGAACTGTTCTTAGATACGATACATAAATTACTTACAATTGTTTCATACATTATTGAATTTAGTAAGACGTGAAATACTTTACGTAAATATAAATGAAACGTCGATAGGTTTAATATTGAGAATAGTTTTTTTAAAAAAATATGGAACTACCTAAATTAAACGAAAATTATTAGGCGATGAGTCTCTTATAAGGGTGAAGTTTGAGAAACACTGCGCTCCGGGAGTCCATTTTTCCATCCTTGTTCTAATCGAATTCGGTCAATTCGGTGTTGTACGATCAGTAGGAATCGTGTAAACATCTCATCTTAAGTTACTTAAGCGAATATTTCATCGGTGTTGCTCATCGACCACCCAGAAACTAGTTCGGAGAGGACAGATAAACGAGCAATGGCAACCGCAGGAAGCTCGAACGCCGGCACAATTTTGCAAAAACTCGGCTTGAAGCCGATCACAAAATGTAGTCTCGTAAAGTTTTACGTCCCAGCTTTCGGCGTTGCTTCGTACACCGCATTGTCGATCAATGTGATGAATCCAAGTCTTGTCATCAGGTAAGACAACAAGGAATTCGATGAACTTCTCAACGTTAACCTCTAAAATTCAGCAAAGAAGTTTCATAATTCCGAGAGCATTACGTAATCCTCGAGCAAACATGTTCTAGCATGCTATTTTAAAAATTTTCACTGAAATTTCGATTTCCCGTCTTTCCATCGGAGATGACTACTTTAATTATGAATATAGCGATTTTTCATTGAGCCTATTCGACCTATATATTTACACCTAACTAATTTCTCATCCCAACATTCGTGTTGCCGATCATTGTCACGCGATGAGAGTAATTCAGTTTGATTGTTTTAATTTGTATCATAGCGTTGTTACTCTATATTTATAGAGTATTCCCAAAGAAAGACATCACGAACTTTTTACTGGGTAGCGCTCTCTTCGGCATCGGTTCGTATGTATATACTCGCGAGCATATGACTAAAGCTCCTGGAGGAGCAAGACTCGCGTATAGGTAAGTTTCTAGTATATTTTGATTCTTACGAATTACGTACCATAAATCTATAAATTTTTACGTTATTCTATTTTTAATAGCGCCGCTGGTGCTGTATTGCTGAGCTTTGGATCAGTTTTAGTATGGGCGGTGCTACGGTCTATCGTACCACCTAATCCTACTTTATGCACGATAGCTGGCATTGGTTCCGGTCTTGCGTTTATTAAGGTTGGTTCTAGTTATTTGAACTTTGTAGATGAACAAATACCAAAGAAGTAGATTGGTAGCATTTTCATTGTCGACACGGTATCGATATGTATTAAATACATCTAAAAAAAAAATTTGCAATAATATATTATGAAATAGTGGATTGAATCAAGAGTAAGGAAAGAAATGTATTATTAAGCAAAGAATTTTTAAATGTCTACAAATTTCTACATTTTGTATGGTCTTTGCTCCATAAATGGGAGATTATGGGTCAGAATATGTTCACAGTAATTACAAACCACTTTGTTTTTTTCCCAATTGATCATTTGCAAGATTCAAAAGATGCATTACGGGCACTGAAAGATACTTAGCTTTGTTGTACGCGTTCAAAGTTGTGATTTACGTGTCCGAAAATACAAAAAACGAACAAGCTCTATTTCTTAATTTGAGGTAGCTTTATGATGTTTATGCATTTCTTAAGGTGTACAATATGCTTATCCAAACAATAGAATAGTAATAAGAATCGTGTTATATACGTGCAAATTTTTTCTTGCAATTTCAACAAATATTTAAAACAAGAAAAAATTAAATGATTTTACGTTACAAATAAAACAAATTACAGTTTTGTAATCTATTTCCTGTAAACGTAAATATAAGAAATTAATTTATTGTTGTACATTTGTGCATGTTCCTTTTATAAAGAAAAGATATTCACGATTAATTTAAATTAAAGGAACGTGCGATGTTATAAATGCATACAAAATGCATTTAATGTAATTGGATAAGATTGTATCACTTCTTTAATAAACTCTGTTATTAAACTTGAATCTATATATTTATTAATGTTCGTGCCTGTTACGAAGAATAGGGTAAACCATCGTGTTTTCTTATCAAAGTTTTATATTTTATTAGTAAGTTTTATAGTAGACAAAATAGAATTGTACGATACCGTGTGCAGTTATTATTCGCTTTTGGATAAATTTTATATACATACCAGTCGTACCACATATTTACGTAATAGCACTCACACGATACTGCCTTTAAAATGATAATAAATAATAAAGATGCGACAATAAGCATTCAAAACACGCAAGAGTAATTCACGTTTGTGCGACTGTAGTTACGAACGCAACAATTATTCTCTAAAGAATAGAAGCTCTATGATTTAGCTGATTATTTCATATACATAGTCCAAGATCGTAGAAATATCGACAGGTACGAAGTAGATACTCTGGCTATTTTACGAAAAAACCCCTATTTTAATGTTACAATAATTTAGCGATATTTAACGTGGTTTCCTGTTTACTGTTTGCGTGTATGTATATCGTATCATGATTAGTTTGTTGCGTTGAAAAAATATAATTTTCTATTTAGAAATCGATTCTTTGACTGGAAAAATATGTTTCGTTTGTTATCGAAATACGTTTGTAGCCATGTACCTGTCACGCTGATATGCAACTTGTATACCTACGAGTAAAAAGATGAACGCGACACGAATGGAATTGCAAACAGTCGTAGAATGTAGTTTCCCAATGTTATGATCCGACTTCCATTGTCTTCGTATTAACGATAGCGTATTACCATTCCTGACGACACGTGACGAACGTTAGCTCGGTAGGAAAATGGTAACACAAGTGGGAAGTTGTAAATATCGAAATATCGAAATTATGCTAGTCTCGCTCAGCAAATGAAACAACTAGGACCGCGAAATATATACGTTTCATTCCGTTACTATATCATGCCAAATGCCTATTTTATATGCACGTATTTAAATATATAAACAATTAAAATGGACTTTCCTAATTACAGTATAAAAAGTAGCAATCGATATGGATGTTCCATACAGTCTATGTTACATAAAAAAATAAAGCAACCCGATCGCACGTTCTACTCGTGAACCGTATCACATGTATTATACGTACCTTCTTAAAGATATTGGCAACAGTTTCATCGAATACGATTTTTACACGCGTTTCTATAATACTTGGTAAATGTCTGTGTCGAATTACATACCGACACTTCGGCATACGAGAAACGAGTAAAATTCGATTCGAATAATAATTTTAACAGTGTTTACTCGATTTAATAGTTCAACTTACGTTGAATCGTAATCTCGTTCCAAAGTTTTCGTGTACGCTCCCATTATTTTTTTCTCGCGTCTCGAAACAAACGTTTCGTAATACTGTCCTTCCTCCTTCGATCGAGATCCTTTTACCGCCATTTTTCTCGACCGAACGGTTTCCAAGAAACTATGGGTGTATTCTAACCAGGGGGTTCGATGTTTATGGAATTTTCATGTAGCATTATTACGATTCAATTTACATTCTATAGATGTCACCATGTCCAAAGAATTTAAAAAAAAAAAACGGTTAAAATAAAAGACATTCTTAGGAATTAAAATTGAAACGATAAAATATAGCTTTATTATATTTGTACTTCATGAGTGAACTCTATTTCTCTCTATTTTTTTATCTTTCATTTTTCGTGAAGAAAAATTTTGGGTTTTTCTGTAAGAAAGAATCGATGCACGAAGCATCTACTTTTTAATCGAACATCCCCTTCTAAGTAGCACGATTAATCGATTCCCGAAAGTAAGTACCAATCGGGAGACTCCTATATCCCAGGGAGGAACTATTGGTACCTCTGTTTCCCGCGCAAACCAATTCTAACTGCGGTCCGTGTGCGTTATTGTCGTTTCGTTGATGTCTTTCGAAAGGACACCAGTGGGATTCTTCATCGAGGAGGACAAGATATTGCTGACAGCTTCCGCGATGCTCTCTGTTACCCTATCAATGGTCTCTGTGAGTATTCGTCGGCTGGTTGCGTTCGATTTTTGTTCGTGGGAATCCAATTCGTGATCGTGATCGGCATCGTGGTTATGCTCGTCTTCGTGGACGTGCGTGTGACCTCCGTGCGAGTGGGAATGCGAATGGGAATGAGCAGCTGCAAAGAAAAATAATATTTTAGGTAAGTAGATGAATATTGACGTAATAAAGTTGTCAAAGGGGAGTATTTAACATTTTGGCTGTCATATTGTATCAATGCTCGTGGAGATTGATGAAGATTCCCGCGAGACTATAATTCTGTTTTCGAACAGTTGAAATCCGCGTAATCTATCGTCTGTCGTAGTAACTATTTTTTGAACCTTACCGAATCGTTGATAATGCAGAGAGTAGTAATTGGCAGATGATAATCTAATTCGCATTACTTAATCGATAATTAATGTAGTCAACCCATACAACTACCTCATTGTTTAAATTGAGCATTGTAAGAAACCTAAAAATCTAAAGCGTTGGAACACAATATCTGAGAAATATGATTCTCATCGCGTTCCTATGGAAAGTCTTGGTTATCTACGAGGGGGAAACTTTTGTAACCGAGTTTGCTCGGTAGATGATAATGAATAGACGTATAAACGTGTCGCAATTTTCCTAGAATAATGCAGTTACAGATCGAAACTCGATAGCCGAGAAAGCGGTCGAAAGTCGGTCGGATTGTTCATCGACCTACGTCTGGGGTCATTGCCATGGATGGGG